GTTGTTGTCCATATCGTGCGTTATCCTCTTACTTTTTTTCAGGTTAATCATTTTTGCGCTGCATTTGTTGTTTTGCATGTTCTTCTTTTGTTGTTGCTGATTCTTTGCTGCTTGATATTTTGGTAAAACGGTATGCGATACAACGACACAACTGTATGAAATAAAGTATGAGAAACGAACGAAGAAAAAGAAAAAGATACAAACATGTCCAATCACTCGAGAACCGTACATTTTTCGTACCGTATACACTGGGACTACTTAGGACTAGAGTAATTGCGATTCATACTTTTTCTTTTCTGTAATTCTTTTTTTGTTTTTTTTTTCTTTTTCATAGTAATTGGCAAGCATGCGTGCAAAGTAACGAATCGCGAACACGCATTAAATTAAAATATTATTTTCTTTTCTTTTACGCTCCATTTTGCGCTTATTAAGAAAAATGAGCAACTTAATCTCACTTTTTCTATTCTTTTCTCTATTATATATTTTCTTATTTATTTTTATTAGATCATTATTAATATATTTTTTTGTTTTTTTTTTATTATTATTTATTATTTTAGATGCAGTCTTGTGACACGATACGGATTTACAGTCGAGTGATCGGTACACGTTCCGTAGATACAGCCGTGCATCTTAAAATTTGTTCTAGCTCTATTAAAATGGCCGCACACACGGTTCGTATGGCGAACATACCCCATTGGGACACATCGATTTCAGGCTACTAGTTAATTTTCGAATAATCTATTGTCGAAATCATAACGAATTTTAAGATGAAATCGTTTCTGAAATCTAGAGAACAGTTCGCATATACGATATTTCCTATTTCAAATTCGCCTAGAATCGAATATCCCTCTGGATAGTTCATTCGCTTCACGCGCCCGGCGCGATTTCGATGCAACTTCATCTTTTCTTCATTTTTTCTCTCTCTTACTTCCATTCTTTCTTTCTCTCATTCCTTTCTCTCTCTCTCTCTCTCTCTCTTTATTTTTTACATACGTATACTTTCACTCGCTTTCTTTTTCTCTCTCTCTTACACACACATCACTCTCTCTCTCTCTCTCTCTCTCTCTCTC